ACAGAGAGAGAGAGAGAGAGATCCTGAAATTGGATGGACGTGTGAATTGGTGAGAAATTCTTATCATCAAAATCTGGAATATCGTTAGTTTCAACTCTTTTTCTTTATAAATCGACTACCCTGATCATTTCGCTGGAGGTATCTAATCTGCGATTAGCCGGGTGTCTAATGCACTCCTCTCAATCACAGCTCAGGATCGATTCTGATAGGATTGCGAGGGAACCGTTTTTTTGGGAGATTTTATCGGAGAAAAGCACCACATGCCTTTCGCTTTATTAACTGTAATCAGCGCTTATCCATTTTCCCCAGGGGTTTTCAGAGAACTCAACTCAATATTTCTATTTTTTTCAACTTCTTATTTCAAGAAGACGGTAGAGATTATTTTTCTCGAGAAACCCATTTTCTCTTCGGATAAATAGCCTACAATGTTGATAATTAGAAAAACGAAAATATAGCAACGATTCGAAGGCTTTTGGAAAGTATCTCAGAAAGATGTAACTTCTAATTACTCATATGATCCCTAACCAGAATAATTTTATCCTTGCGCCGGTAGATTTAATCCATGTTTTGGAGAAAAGTCTGATTACGTAGATTTGATGGACAAGTAATCAGGTAGATTTAACTACGAACTTGGAAAACCTGACCCTCGATTACATGAATTTAATCCTTAATTTGAAAAACGTAATCTCTAATCAGATAAATTCACTCTTTGATTAGAAAAACTTGATGCCTGAATGGAAAGATTTAGTCCCTGTTTCGGAGAACCTGATCCCTTATCAGCTCGCTTCATGTTGGTATCACTAAGACAACCTGAATATTCATCATGAAAATTTCATAACTGATGAAGGACACCTGATTTTCAATGAGACAAACTGAATTCTCAAGTAACCAGATTTGATCTGCAACTTGAAAAACTTGGTTCTAGATCAGATAGATTTTAGATGGATTAGATGGATTTCATTCACAGCCAGGGGAACCTAATCCCTTAGGGAGATCTGCTGCATAATCGTGAGAACCTCATCCCTGAACAGATAGTTTCAATTCGTGACAACGGAAATTGCACCCCTGATCAGGTATATTTGGTATATTTGATCCAGCTTTCAATATTACCCCATTCACACTCGATACTTAATCAGGCGCATTTAATCCCTAATTATTGAAACCTAATCCCTAATCAGGTAAATTCAATCCCTGTTCGGGGAAATCTAATGCCTGAATCCGAATATTATTCCCTGTTTCGAACAACCTGATTCCTTATCTGGTTGATTTATGTTGGCATGATTTAGAAAACCTAAATATCTATGATGTAAATCTCATAACTGCTCAGGGAAACCTGATTCTCGATGGGAAAAAAAGAATTCTCCATCAAGTAGATTTAATCTGCAACCTGAATAACTTGATTCTAGATCAGACAGACTTGATCAGATGGATTCCATTCACAGTCAGGGGAACCTGATTTTTGAACTGGCAGATCTGCTTCATAAGCGTGAGCACGTCATCCCTGAATAGGTATATTTAATCCATGGCAGGGAAAGTCCGATCTCTGATGAGGTATATTTGATTCATAATTACGAAGATCAGATTTTTGACCCAATCCGTAATTTGGCTCTCAAAATTAACTTATTAATACACTCGACACCTCATCAGCCGAATTTAATTCCTGATTATGATAACATAATCTCTGATTGGGGAAACGTGATGCCCTGTTCGGATTATTTAGTCCCTGTTCTGGGGAACCTAATCCGTTATCAAGACGATTTATGTTGCCATGACTTAGAAAACCTGAATATCTATGATATCAATCTCACAATTGCTCAAGAACACCTGATATTCGATGAGAAAAACTGAATTCTTGACCAAGTAGATTTGGCCTGTAACCTAAAATACTTGGTTCCCGATCAGATAGACTTGATCAAATGGATTTAATTCAGGAGAATCTAATCCCTGAACGGGCCGATCTGATGAGGTATATTTGATTCATAATTAGGAAGATCTCCTTTTGCACTTGATCCGTAATTAGGCTATCAAAATTGATTTATTAACAACACTCGATACCTGATCAGGCGAATTCAATTCCTAATTATGACAACCGAATCTCTGATCAGGTAAATTCAATCCCTGATTGGATAAACCTGATGCTTGAATCGGAACATTTAGCTTCTGTTCCGGAGAACCTGATCCCTTATCATGTCATTTTATTCACGATAAAAAAAACCGAATGGTAATCAGGTAGATCTCATCTCTAGACGGGTAGATTCAATCCTTGATCTTGGAGATTTAATCTCAGGTCAGGTAAATTTGATCCCATAAATTGAATACCTGATTAGTCCCAAATCAGGATATCGTTTCGGGATCAAGGTAAGGCGCGTATCAGCTGATGCTGAGGCCAACTTAGAGGAACCTATCCTGAAAGAAATCAGATTCACATTCAAATTTCCTGATCACGCACTCCTTACCCCACTGACATCAATTCCCACCCGTGCGCCAGACCCACCTCAACTCAATTTCCACTCAGTGAAGTGCAAAATCACGATTATAACCTGCGCCTCCGTTCGCCAACCGTCAACTTTGAAATTTGGCCAAGTAAGGTTTTTTTCCACCCTCACAATGAAGAAGACACCGGCATAAGGTTTTTTCAGCTCGTAAACCGCTACGTCATTTTTCCCCCCTCTACCAGTGAAGTTGGGTAAAAATTCCGTAGCCAACACAGCACGATGGAAGTGAATATAACTGCACTAGTCGGCTGGTACTTCCGTAGCTGTACAGCACCCAGAAAACGAGGAACTCCAGTACAAGAGAGAGAGAAAGTGAGGCAGAACCAACGGCCATAAACGAGAACACCATAAAAGCCGGTCCCGGATAAGCGTCTATCACGAGAATATCTCGACGCTTTTGGGGTGGAAATCCAAGGGAAAAGTTTTACTCGAGCCACAGGCGCATGGACATCAACTGATGCGGTCGTACACAGCAGAAGCCCACGGCGCTTATTCCACGGGGGTTGAAATACGAGATAATGCTGTAAGGCATCACAAACACTTACACACATAAATTTATAGTGAATTTACTTCCCGCAACACGTACGCGACGTCCTTTTACATTCGTCTACATGCACTACGAGTGTACATCCGTCACTGTTTAAAGAGTATTATGTTGGGGACGAAGCGGGAGATTTGATTAATAGAATCACATCACTCAGGGGATGCTTTTTTTCCTTGTTTCAGACCCGATAACACCGCAAAGAAAAAAAGTTTCAGGTTTTGAGTCCCACAGTAGTGAAATTCAGAAACTCGTGGTTCTAGAGGGCATGGGACTGAGATCCAGAAAATGATAACTTAGTTGCAGTGAAAACTCAGTAACAAAAATGTACTAAGTTTCAGTTAGAAAAGTCCTTAAATACTGAGCCGTCGGTCTGGAGTCAAGCGGGGTTTGTAACCTTCTGAGGTAAACGCCTTCCCCTACTCTTCATACTTTCCGTAAGATTTAACCATCTCCACTCCACCGAACAAAGTATGATTCAGACCGACTTTCACCTTGTCAGCCGAAAAAGCCTATCTGCGGAGAACAAATGTATGAAAATACTTCCCTGACTGCTCCTCATGATTATTGATCGATCTCACTTGAAATTGAGTAACGCTTCGTCAGTACACTGATAGAACGGATTAGTTATTGTTAACGAATGGATTTTGGCTGGAAGTTAGGGTCTATTCGGTCCCACCAAATGTTCATTCGTTAATAGTTAACGAGTGTATATTTTGGGAGCCTTGTTTGACTTGACTTTCGCCATTCAAGTGAACCATTCGTTAACTATTAACGAATATTCATTTGGTCATATTCAACTCTACCATTCGTTAGTAGTTAACGAATCTCGTTTGGAATAAATGAATCATTCTATCAGTGTATATGCCATCTCTTATAGACACAACGCATAATATTTCAATGCGAGGAAGTTCTCGGAATATTATTCCGGAATTGAAGATAAAAAATTTCGGATTATGGAATATTATTCTGGAATCGAGAATTGAATATTTCGGATTCCGGAATTGAGAACGAAGTATCCCGGATTAAGCAATACACGTATTCCTGATTCCACATTATTATTTACTACATTCGACGATATTTTTTTTCCATGTATCTAAAAATTTCTACTCAACAATAGAATAATACTTCTAAGTATTAAAAACAATTCTGTTCCATAACTGGGCCCCGTTTCTTAAGAGTTCCATGACCGGGTCCCTGGCGGTACATCCTTTACTGTTTTATAGAGTATCATGTTGAAGACAAAGTAGAAGATTTCATAAATACAGAATCACATCACTCATGGAAGCTTGTTTTCCTCTCTGTTTCAGACCCAATAACACCGGCGAGTGAGGCGAGTCAGAGGGAGGAGGAGACGAGACTTGAGTTAGAGAGACTCACTGCTGAAATTCGAACGTTGAAGCTTCAAATTCTGCAGTTAACAGGTTAGTTAATCATTTCTAATTCATAAAAATAAACAGAAGTTTTTCCAATATTTTACCGGTAAGACTTTTTCATGTCTAAACGAGCTTTTGGATCGAAGCGAACGCAGTGAATGCTGATCTGAATTAGGTGAGAAGATACTCGCCTTGAAACTTGCTTGTTGCCTTCCAGATAAGGTCTGTATGGTAACAAGAACTGAGACTGGCTCCTCTTTCTGAACCACATTAATGGACACGTTGGATAATCGTGCAATGTATCCCAGCAAATTGAATCAAAATATTTGTTCAGAATTTGCATGATACCAAGATGGCCTTTGTGATGACAAGCGACACTTGTTTCTCGTGCCAGACATTACAAATTGTTGGTACGTGGAGGGAGGCCAAAGAAGGGAATTGTGGGAAGTGGTGAAGCCCAAGTTTATGTGTAATTTGTGAGTGCGTAAACAATGGGTTTGTGGTGAGTAAGGAGCTTACTGGTTGCACTGTGTAACTGTCTGCTGTTGTATTAGGCGAAAGGATGTGTGGAGAAAGGTGTTATCTGTAGGTGCAAGATTGTGGTTGATGTAGAGGAGGCTCGTAACTACAGAATTCGAGAAGGAAGCCACAGTTCTGCTGAATCTTATACAGTCACCATTTGGTGAATAACAGAAAAAATAGGACAATTAAGGATAGTATTTCCACTGAAAAAAACTTCTATCGGAATGAATCACTTCTAATCGGACAATCGCTTTTCCCATTGAGAAACTTCTGATGTCCTTTCGGATTTGAGAAGAATCTCCTCCAAACTTTGATGGTAAATCAATGCTGATTGCTATCATTACACGATTGTAGACAATTTAATGTTGATGGTTTGCCTTTTGTTATACGAGTGAAAAAAATAACTGGGATTGTCCATTTAAACAAAGTTCCTCCTTCAAATGAATTATTTCAGTCCACATAATCGTCTCTCCCATTCAATTCCAGAAAGCTAAAAGAGGAAAATGAAAAACTTGCAGTGTTCTCCAGAATTTCAACGTTGTTTGTAGAAACGTACATGGCACGATGTACGCCTCTAGCTGAAGATGAGCCCCTTACGAGGCTCCCGTCTTCCTCCATTCCCCGGAGAGCATTCCAACAGCGATGCGGATGTGCTTCATCCCTATTTCTACCACTCTCCTCACACCACCGAAGTGCTCCATTACAACTTCGTCGCGACCATTCAAGTTGAGAAATCATGAAACCCCGGATGCTCTTCCCTTCTTCATATTCCCAGCCCCCACAAGACGACATTCACGCCCACCTGAAAAAGATTTTTATGCTTATAGTTGTCTGAATTAAATCCCACAAATCTCAGACCTTTTCATTCGACTCTATTCAGACAAGTCCAAAGGATTTAATTACTTCATTTATGAAAAGGAACATTCCAACAAAAAAGAATCTGATAATGGGGAACAATTACAACTCCCCCCTAATTCCTGAATAAAGATTCTCGAGTCGTGAAAAAAAGGGGGCAGAGACTGTATAATGGCCTCTGTCGTTACGGAAGTTAACAGAGTAACAAAACTGTCGACTGACGCTGCAAGATGCTCCTAAAAACAACAGCGTACAATTCTTCTTTTGGCCTTAGTCAAGGTAAAGAGCTGAGAGCGGCACTTTCAAGCATTTTGCAACTGCCACTACTTTCAGTAGAATCCCCCCCTCTTGAAGATTCTCACAAAGGCTAGTCTCTCCTTTACAATTTCACTCCTAAACCATTTCCCTGGCTGTTACCATCCATCTGTCTCTATCAATTCTCCCATCCATCTGTCTCGCTCTCTCATTCTCCCTTTTTCCTTTCAGTAACATTTCGCATCTCATTTTCTTCTTCGTAAAAGGCACTGAGTTAAAACCATGAGCTGCTATTTCCCATTACGGGTAACTCTAACCTCTCTCACTCCTCCACGCTAGGTACGAGCATTAAAATGTTGAAGCTAATAAAAACCCTCTCAGAGTTACGAGAACTGCCGAACAAGTCACGCATTTCAACCTAAATTTAAAGCTACCAAGCATTAACTTCTTCTGGAATGTGTATTGCCATTTTCCTCCAACACTGTGAAGAGAGTATTTCTCTCTTCTGTTACCATTTATTCACGTGAATCGCGTGCTTGAAACGCCTTTTGCTGTATCAAAATCCTCTGCTATACTGTTTTTCGAAGCCCATTCGTACACGTAACCGAACGCCTTGTCGTTCGAGTGAGGGGAAAATGTTGGGAAATAAAGGATCGTATGTTTCATGTCGTAAAGAAACTCGGGTCATTGATTTTTGGGATACACCCAGTGTCGGGTAATTACACTTGGCAGAGGTTTAATGTTGTTTTGTTTTTTTTTTTATAGGGAAGGGTGGGGCAAAGTGGAACGGTACCGAATTTCGTATTTCGAGAGTGAACCAGTTCTGAGGGTCAACTGGGAGAGAATGGCAGAGAGATCATGAAGGTTAAACAAAAGGGTCGAGCGAAGTGATTACTCCATTCATCTTTCTCAATTAGGGATGTAAAATTACCGTAATTTTCGATGTGCGTCAAGTCAGTCGTAAATTTACCGTTTTCTGACATTTCTGACTTGATGCATTGTGATGTAAACTGACCGGCTAACTTACCAAATCGTCAGTAATTTCTTCTCGTTGTTATTTATGCTGAACAATCGTCTATCTGAATGTAATCTGATCCTCATTTTTGCGCTCGGTCATTTTTCCTTCCGAATGGGAAGCAATTGATTACAAGTCTATTTGATGTTACAAGAAGGGGTGACGGAGGCCACCTTTGTACCCCTGCGCACTCTTGGAACCTTTAGGGGCATAAAGGCCATAAGGGTCTCAGGGTACAGCAAGGTTACAAAGGTCAAGAGGGTCAAAATCCCTGATTTGATTATAAGTTTAAAAAAAACAGAAAAGCATTGAAATCGTTCTATTGTTAGATTCTCTAATTTTGCTTGGAAATGATGGAAAATGGTTTGAAACGTAAAAATACGAAGTTTGATCACCCCGTGGATATGTGCGGGTGTCTACCTGGCGGTCAACTTTTAGAGAATTGAAGAATTAAAGGACAAAGAATTTCAAAAAATCTGAGATTTTGTCAGATTATAGATATTAATGAGAACTGACTCTGTGCTCAATTTCAGTCCAAGCGATCCAGCCGTTATTGAGGAATCGCCATTTGTTTCTAAATCGTTTTTCGCAAATATCTCAAAAACTACTCAACCGATTTCAATTTTTTTAAACTATTCGTCTGGATCTTTTCTATCCCAACTAATCAAAATATGCATACTCCTTCACACAAAGTTTCTGAGATATTTCCATTTTTCGGATTTTCGCTCAACATCCTTGTTAGCACTCCCACTGTTACAAAAATCTGGTGCAAATTTTTTTTTCAAAGTATATATTGATACAAAAACCATTCTATTTCTTATTCTATTGTGAGATCTGAATAATTTTTAGGTATACGTTATTTTTAACCCATTAGTTTTTCAGTGCTATAACAGCAATAATTCAACCAAAGAAGAAAAGAAAGTCGAATAAACTCTGAAACTTCAGGTGTCCGAAACGTTGACAATTAGTGAAAAAATTTCATCTTTAATTGTTTCTCTTTTTTCGGTATTTGTGAAAAATTGCTGGTATGAGCATTGATGGCTGTGAAGTAAAGAGATTTTCAAAAACTTATTCTATCTCCGCACAGCTCCTGCTTAGGTCCAGACAATTCTGCCGAATCAATGCCCCAACACCCAATCATTTAAATCACCCATTTCTTTATGTTTAGGTGGACCACCAGGACATTCCGAGACTATAGCCTCAATAAACTCCTCCGAGATCGGTGACTGCCTGGCAGCGAGACGTCAGGTAGAATTCGCTGAAATCACTCAGGGTCTCCCCCTCAACAATGAGTACGAGCTAATAGCATTTAGTCATTTCACAATACCCCGTCTCTATCCCGTGGATCTCGGGCTAGGCAAGCGAGTGGTGGAAAAGCCCATCGGATTCAAGAGAAAGGACATCCTCGAAGCAGTCTCAAAGGCCATTGACACTCTCAACAAGAATATTTCATCGATCGCTGGAAGGTATACAACAGAAGACTTCCTGGAGGGTCTCTACAGGGTTGAACCCACCACCGGGACACAATACGAGATGTACTTCAAGACGAAGAATCTCAACAAAAGTTCCCAAGTATCGAATCCTGGGTACACCAAGATCGTGATGATGCGGCCTTACGCACCGATTCACTTTGTCTCAGTGCAGAGGCAGCAGACGAAGGAAAAGGAGTTGATTCACATTATTCTTCCATTATCCGGGAGGACTGGAACCTTTCAAAGCTTTATGGATAAATTTGTGAAGATTGGGTTGAAGAATGACAAGAGAGTGCATCTAACGGTCGTTTATTTTGGGACTGAAGGCCTTTCCGAAGCTCAAGCCATCATGTCTAGGGTACTGATGACCAGGGGAAGTGGCGGTTCCAATCAGAATCTTCGCTTGCTCGCTCTCAACGAAACTTTCTCCAGGGGAAAAGGCCTCAGGGTTGGCGCTGAAAGAGCCTGGAATGGAGACGGTGATGTTCTCCTATTCATGTGCGACGTGGATGTTGTCTTCAGTGCAAGGTTCCTAGACAGGTGAGTTTTATGAAGTTTCTACACCTTGAGGCAACCTAGGGACTTGTGGAAGTTAGTTCGTATTATTCTAAGTGAGGCTTTCATGCTAGGGTAATTTGAGAAACGCTTCCTGTGTGATGTAGATGCCGTTGGAATACAGCACCAGGACGCAAGGTCTATTATCCCATTGTCTTTAGTCTGTACAATCCTCATGTTGTCTACACGCTTCAGGGGCGCAAGGTGCCACCTGAGAAGGATCAACTTGTTATCTCCAGGGACACTGGGTTCTGGAGGGACTTTGGTTATGGCATGACTTGCCAGTATAGGTATGTTAAATTCGATATGTAGTTATTGCGGATTTCAGATTGAATTATCAATCACTTGTAGTAGAATTTTGGGTTTATTATCTCTTTTCATCACTTAAAAAAAAATGATCACACATATAATTTTCACAAAATCAAAATTATAAGAAACATTAAATAGCAATCCATACGTGTAATCAGCTCGGTGGTTCCGAGGCCAAGAAAGCTAATGGGCTGTTTAGCTTCGTTTCGATGACATCGGTCACAAACTTTGGTGTACCTGTGGATTTGCCGTTCAATTATATTTTTCTCGCTTCGTAGAATTTACTATGATTTATCTATTATGGTGGAAACTTTTTTTCCTCTGTGAGTTTATTGTAGCACTGTAGTCGTTCCTTAGTATATAGAGAACTCTGTCAAAGAACATCAGAAGTCCTTCTTAGGACCTCTACATTCACATTCAGGGAACGGAACAACATTAATCCTGGCAAGAGAGCTTATCAGACCAGGGTGGCCAGATGCCGAGAGTGTTTCGCCGCCAACAGGGAAGGGAAGTAGCCAGAAGTTGCCAGTCGGAGAAGAGGAACCCGCCATGAAAGTCGCCAGTGGCGGCACTAGTTCAAAATTTATATAGAAAAAAGGTTATTGAGGGTCAGACGTTTTCAAGGGTGGAATTGGAAAGCTGGACGGAGTAGTTAGGAAAGTCAAATGTTTTGAATGTTCAAACCGGCGAAGATCAACGATTTAAGGGTGAAACGGGGGGATCTCTGCGGATAAACGATTAATTAAACGGAACCAACTTTTACGGCATTATCTTTATTGCATACGAATTGATATTCGAATAAAATATCATAAACACAACTTGAAAATAGAATTTTTGGAATACAACGATATCATAATGATTATGAAAAAGCTCAAACCTTTTAAGATCATGTACCAGACAGTACGCAGGTTTCTTCATACTGTGCGAGGGGATTAAACATTTCATCGGCGTCATTTAGTTGGAGCTCATCTAGGTTTAGTGTGTTGTCATTATTATTACGGTGATCTTCAGTGGTCATTATTTTCCTTTCATACATTGAACTATTGAAATCCTCAAGCATTGATTTCGAGGGAACATAGTCGCAACAACAATATCCGTAAACTCTTAGATGAATGCGAATACGCATGATTGAGACGAGCATCGGCATAAGCATACGGTTTCGAGTCTTATTTTTAACGATAATCATAACTGAAAACATCCCTTCTATCTCCGCATTACTGATGGGTAAAATCAGAGCTCTGAGGGCAAAATTACTCCATTCCTCGAAAACTAGTTCTCCATCTCGATTTTTCCAACTCCTAACAGTTATCCAGAAGTTTTCTGTGGTCGCAGCTTCAGTTAGATCAGAGGAAACATCCGCCAGCCACATCCCTTGCAGACACCGCCATTGAATCTCAATAGTACTTCGGTCAGTAGTCTCATCTGGAAAAATTAAATATAATTCTGAGCTTTTAGAGGATATTTAATGAGCTTGGGCATGTTCTCTATAGAAATACCTGTCAAATCCCATGGAAGATCTTGCACTGGGATAGGAGGGGCTGGAGAGAGGCACATCTGAGGTGAAAAACATGTCATCCGTTCAATCACGTCAACATTCTGAGGAAGTCTATTAACAAGTTCCTTGACCAATTGGAGAAGGTAACATCGAGCTCGTTCTTTCACAATTTTCACCTCTTTCCCGTCCAGAGTAGTTCTCTGTGAGTTTTCCAAAAAAAATTGTCCATAATCGACAGAATCGAGAGGGAGGAGTGAATTACCAAACGAATCATCACTTTTCTCGAGGGCCCTCTTCACAGCAGCAATATCAGCTTGATGGAGAATTCGATTGGATACGTTGGATTCTTTAAGAATTGGCTGCAGGAACGCAGGCTTGAAGATCCCGCGAGCTAACGACAGTACTAAAAGACGAAGATCGTCGTAAACTGCAGCAGCATCTGTATTTACTTTTTGATACGCAAGATTCACTGCCATTACTTCCTTCAAAATACCTTCCACGAAAACAAGATATAAATAGACAGTATCTTTTTTGTATGCGTCGGCAAGGACACGAACTTCAGAATTCTTCTTGTCGAATGTTGCAGCTGCTATATGAAAAAATTCTCTCAAGTCTTTCCACTGTTTGAGAATGACTGATACTGCATTGTAAAAGGCCAACCAACGTGTCGTCGATAATGCAACTAATCTCAATGGTGTTTTCCCATCGTTCATACTCCCAAAGAGTGCTTCCCATTTTTCAAGACGTAGAAAGCTATGAGCAAACTCTTACTGTTTTTTATGAGATTTTCGACCTCAGAATGCAGTTGATCAGCCGCTTTTGATGCACACAAACTCACGGAATGGGCCATACACTTTGTGAACATTAAATTAGGCAGATCATTTTGAAGACGCGTGAATAAGCTATTGTTTCTCCCACACATATTTGATGCTCCATCAGTCCCAATTCCTACCATCTTCTTGAGATCCAGTCCGTTCTCTGCAAGAAATGCCTGGAGAATGATGTGGAGTTTCTCAGCTGTAGCCTCGTGAACTTGTGTAAATCCCAGTAAGTTAGTGAGGATTTTATTCTCTCTTTTACTGAAGTATCTGATTCCATAAGCCATGTATTTGGTCGTCGACACGTCGGTCGCTTCATCAACGATGAGTGAGTAAAATCCATTGCCAACATCATCAATCAGTTCCTTTAGAAGCCCTGGGACGATGATATTCAGAATAAGCTTCGAAGCCTTTGTTCTATAGAGTTTTAGTTTTGACAAAACACTTCCTTCTCCATACCGCTGAATCAATTCTGATAGGTGATCAATGGAACGTATTGACCCATGGCAGGCAGCGTGGAGTACCAAGCCAATGTCAGTAGTCTTACTTTCATTTGTTTCTTTCCTGACGCCTGAAATGAGAAAATGAACGAATCAAATTAGTGGAGCCGAGTGGTATGAGCAAATTCTCACAAATAATTCCACTGTTTGACTTATTACAATCATCCGAAAATTAATAACAAATGAGAGATCCTCTTGTTGAATGTATCTATTTCAAATTAACAAGTTGTAAAAAATCATACCACATTGATCTAAACGCCTCTGCCCAGCACATAAAATCTCCTTGGCAATTTTCTGGTGACCGACTGTTTTAATGTGGGTTTCAAGATCAGTTTTGTAAGCACGAAATCCTTTTGAACACCATTTGCAGTAAGCTTCACGTTTATTTTCAATGAAAATAGTATCGGGAGCTCGTGTTAACCATCCTACGAGTGAGGTGAAATAATTGATTCATCAATCAAAATCAAAAAATCTTTGGAACTCATGTATAATAAGTAAACTCATCAGTCACTCGTAACTTTAAAAGATTCCTCGTTTTCCCAGGCTTTATTGTAGGGCCTCGGTGCTTCTTTTGATTTCTTCTCCACCTTGTTTTTTGCTTTCAAAATACTTTCTTTTGGGGGTTTAGTCTTCTTAACACCAAAATTGTGTGTTTTTTTTCGGGTTCTAGACCCTCCTTTCTGTCCTTTGAACACTCCCATTATTTAAAATACTCAGTACAAAATTTTTATCACATTATACGAGAATAAGAACCGATGAGAAACGCAGAGAAACCGCCACCTACCGGCTCGCCTACCCACAGAATATAAACACAAGAGTCCGTGTTTTGAAGGGCATTCAACAACTCAACTATATTGTGATTGGTGGAGATAAAACAGTTGGGGGGCATCCATAATGGGCGCCTATACTTTGCGCCGCGTTTACGCATTGCGATAGTGGTGTCGGTACAGTAGGAATAGGTGGCCATTGATGAAGTAATGTCCAAAAACACCAAAATTAAAAATCTGAAAATCGGTAAATTTTCATATTTTTTTTAGGAAATTTGCAAAATCGCCAAATTGGCGGTCTGGCGGTTTGATCGAAAAAATTTCTCGCCAGGCGATGTCGAAAATCGCCAGTTTGACGATATATCGCCACATCTGGCCACCCTGTATCAGACTATAATGATTGGCCCGCACACAATTAATCCATGTAATCATTCTTCTTGGAAACTTCTGTTTATAGAACCATGGTTTTCGAGATTTTTTATATTATCTTTGGAAGTACTCAATACCTTTACTATTATTTTTGTGTTGAGAATGGAATTTTAAATATCTACACACCTAATTGCTTTGACCAATTTCTGCTCCTTCATATTTCCAGAATAGCGAAGAAATCATTGAAATATATTTGCAACACGCTTTACTTATTCATTGACATTACCACGTTCATCCTCATCAAAGATTCACACACCTCTGTAATTTAATAATTCCAGATCAGCCTTCCTGGGTGTCCAGGGCTTTGACGAGGAAGTTTTTTATGTCGAATGGTGGGAAATTTTCCTCTTTGAGTTTATTGTAGAGCTGTAATCTTTCCTCAGTATATAGAGGACACTGCTACAGAACATAATTCAGGTCCACCTCAGGACATCACATTCAGGAAATGGAACAACGTTAATCTTGGAAAGAGGGCTTGCCAGGCTATAATGATTGGCCCTTGCACAATTGCTCCATGTAATCCTTCTTCTTGAAAGTTTCTGTTTATAAAACCATAGCTTTCAAGATTTTTTGTGGTATCTTTGGAAGTACCCAATGCCTTATTATTATTTTTACATTGATAATTCAAATTTAAATAACTAAACACCAAATTACTTTAACCAATTAAAGCGCATTCATTTTCATAGCATACGGATAAAAATCATTGAAATATACCTTCAATACGTGTTACTTATTCATCGACATTGCCACGTTCATTTTCATCAAAGATTCACACACCCCTGTAATTTAATAATTCCAGATCAGACTTCCTGCGTGTCCGGGGCTTTGACGAGGATATAGTGGGATGGGGCGGTGAAGACGTTACCCTCTACAGAAAATACGTCAGGAGTAATATCAAAGTTATCAGAGCAACCGATCCTGGCATATATCATATCTGGCATCCGAAGGTAATTGCACTAAACTTCACGAATGAGAAAATTGTGAGAGCCGTGACACTCAGAAAATCCAAACAAATGTGAGGTGAGATTATCCGCGCATTCCTGTGACAATCCGATATATTCAAGGGATAAAACCTGAGAGTAGATTTTGAAAGAGCTAACAATAATACCTTCAGGGGGATACGACAATGTACTGGATAACGAGTAACGTCCCATATACCCATTCGAAATGTTACCATATTCCCGTCGAGTACATTTCCGTTGAGTGTGACGCCGTTACTCGAAGAATGCAACCTTCAATTTCACGTGGCAGTTGACAGGGGGGGGGAGAGGATTGAAAAGGACATAAAAAACCACTGTATTCGCGCAAAAGCCCGAATGCTCATTGTAACTGCTAGAGGGTGGGGATTGGGATCGAGTCAAGTGTAAGGAGAAAAAAGGAACGAACGTATATACGAAAGCTAACAGTGGAACGATCCTCGTAAAGTCGAACGAGTGCTGAACCTGGATCGTTTCGTTTTGGAGAATTCTCGGATGGTTATAACGCAATAGCCAGGTTTTCTCCTTGTTGGGGAAGGTCTTTGGAGTGATCTGACCTGATGGTGTTTTGGATTATGGGGTTTATGATGCTCATGATGCTTGATCACATATCTGAAACTCTTTTACGAGGAGCTGGTCACTGCTCAATCGGGTGGCTCAGTGATTTCCAGAATGGGAGGATTTTCAATGATTTCTTGAACAATTTCTGTGATTTCTGAATAACAATTGGAAATCAGTTCCTTTGATCTCTTGTGATTTCCATAATTTCTAGTAGAATGTGATGATTTCTTGATTTCAATTATATGGGGGCCAAAGAGGGGCATTTGTTGATAATGATATTTTTCTATATGACGTTGTGATACGTAAGGATGTCAAAAGAGGTAAAAAACCTCAGAATGTCACATTTCATCATAAACCGTGAAGCCTCACGATTTTCATAGGTCACGAGGGTCACATCTGGCTAGGATCAAATGTGGCAAGGGTCAAACGTTTCAAGGTTTAAACGTTACGCGAGTTATATCTTCCAAAGGTCATTCCTCGCGAACACTATATCTCGTAAGGGTCATGCCTAGCATGAAGAACGGTGAAATCCATTTTATGAATCTCATAATGAAATGACTCGGAGAATGGTTGGATTGAATATTATGAACTTCCTATAGTATTCAAACTGCTTGACCACTGCTTTCCTCAATCAGAAGAGTTAGAAGATTCACAAGCGTCATATGGTTGGAATCTTGAGAGTGAAATGCTCGAAGAAATGTACCATGCGGTCAAGAGGGTCATATAGATAAGATTCGAGGAACCAACGAGTTTAGAAGGGTCTTATGATGTGATAGTAAGAATCAAATGACATGTGCTTAAGAATGTCATGAGGTTCAGACGGGATCATATGAGTGAGCCCGAATAAAAAATTTGGGTTTCATATTCATCGATGAGTTCTAATTATTTCTGAAATCACTTGATTTCTTTATAATTTCGATTGATTTCCGGAAGTTATTAGAAATCTCTGCCAGAAATGGAAATCTCTTGATTTCTCCCTTGATATCCAATTGAGTGGTTCAGTTATTAGCCTTTATAAAGTATAAGACCAGAGAATTTCCTTTCTATCGGAGCTGCTATAGTTGCTAAGCTAAGCTAACAAGAATTTAAAAATATATAGTTAGCTTTCGGATCTATCAAACACTTTCACTCGATCCTGAAACCCTGAAAATTGGCTATAAATCCTTTTCTAACAATTTCCACAGTTTTCTCTTACCTTCCGACAAGGAACTATTCACTAAGTTATCGAAAATGGTGGTGCAAGGGTGTTGATCCCCAAGCCCAGGGGTAATTCCGTGGTTTTGTCGTGGGCTGTTTGGGTATCTCGTTTACCTCCGTCACTCGATAACCTCACCTCGTTTTCGGTGTTGGGATAACGAGATTATCGAAAGTTGGTCGCTAATAAGCTGGCCATCGATCGGAATTAGGAGAGGCAAACCAAGAGTGAGAAGGGATGAGGAGTGTTGGTGAAGGGGTCATTAGACGCGAGAGAGATCACTTAATCGGGTTACCCCTTGAGGCTGTGAACCAAGTAATCTAGTGTTAACGCTTTCCCAAGATCGACGTGAGAAATTGTTATATGTTTTTAACGATAATTTTGGGTGAGGAATTATGGTTCATGGTGTAATAACTTGATTATACGGTTATGGCTTCAGTTTTGGAGTTGAGAATGTAACAGCAACTTGCACAGGTATGTTTGGATAAACAGTTACATTCTTTCGATTACGATTGAAATGATGTGAAATATTGGACAATTTCTTTTGTATATTGCGTCCTAATGGAACCTTTGCAATCGCTCAAATTTACATCCAGAAAAATGGTTTTATTGAATCAAATAAAAATCTTTATTTGAACTTTTTGCTTCCGAATGGAAGCATCGCAATCCTTCGATTTTCACATTCTCTAATTTTGAGTGGAAATGATGTAGAATGGTCTGAAACGTCAAAAGATGAAGTTTGGCAACCATGTCTTTATGTGACCACGTCCACCGCTACCTTCCCGGTAGCCAATTTTTAGAAAATTGAGTAATGAAATGACTAAAGTAATTCCAAAAAATTTGAAATTTCGTAAAATTATAGGTCGTGATGAGAACTAGCTCTGTGCAAAATTTCAACTCGATTGAACTAATAGTTTTTGATAAAAAGCGATTCATTTTTTGACCGATTTCGATTGTCTTTTTCAAAATATTCGTTTCGACGCCTTCTATTTAAATCAATCGAAACAAATATATCCATTCATACAAAGTTTTTAAGATATTCCCGTTTTTACGTTTTTTCAAAAAACAAAAAACTTTGTAAACACTCTAGCTTGTGCAAAAATCGAGATATCAACTTGAAATTTGGGACAGAAAATGTATATCTACTCATACGAAATATTTGAAACATTGGAATTCTGATAGCACCCACGGATGTGGTAGTAACTGTCGGAAATTTTTGCTGCTAGTTAGTGTTGAAAAGCTATCAACTTTTGTAATATTTCAGATCATTCGGAAGCCCGCCATCAATGTATTGATCACGAAACTTAGGGTCAGGAGGGTCAGAGTAAGGGTTATATGGGTTAGATTAAGGGTCACGGGAGTCAGAATAAGAATTATGGGAGTCATATGGGGATCATCCGGGGTCATATGTGGATCATATGGGCGAGCGGAGCGAGCGTAGTCCCCTAGTCAAGAATATTCTTGCTACAAATAAATAAACATGTTTACTTTTTTCAAGAAAACGGATTTAATTATGTGAACCGGTGTTGTATACCCCAGTATTTTAACCTTTTTTATAGCAATTTCACTATATTTATTAACTATATTTCATTATATTTTTGTCGATATATTATTCCAACATTCCCCGTAGTTCCATAAAACCTGAATGGTTAGTCTGGGCCTCTTCCAATAATATTATTAAATAGACATAGTAAATAACTTTAACTAAATTCCCAAACGACTGTCTCCTCTCTGGGCCAATTCCCACTCTCCCATTTCTTCCATCAATACAACCTTTGGGCCATTTCCCTCATTAACTAAAATTCCCGAGAACCGCAATAAACTCCTGGAAACACCCAAGACCATCATAAACCTTAACGACGCCAGAACCCTTAACCACCCTTCTGACGTCACGAGTCCCAAACCTTCCCTCAAGTATGCCCAAAAATGGCAATGTTAGTCATCATCCCCTCCAGTTTTCCTTGCACCCGCAGGTACATAAAACTGAGGACTTCCACAATTTTAGTTAGTATTAATTTCATCTTGTAACAGAACCTCTGTCCGAAACTCGAAATATATAAACATCTTAGAAATTATTTTGAATCAGAGTTGTCACAATATTTAACAGTTTAAAAATATATTCTCGAATAAATTATCAGTTTTATTTTGTATAAAATCTGTGTCCGGAAATTTATTCAACAAGAATCCAACAAAATTTGGCGATGAGGAACCGGATTGGTCTAACACTCGTGCAAAAACCAGTGCTTTTAACGGAAAAGAAAAATTTCCGTCCTAGACACAAGTGACAAAATTGTTTAAAATTAGATCACCACCCACATCTCTTCAAGGACAGACGACCAGAACTGGCTTCTCATCTGGACCTAGCACCTCCAGCACCAGCCGGGAGTTATGCGACAACAACTGTAAGTACTGACACTCAGATGTTCAATACATAATTTCGAAAGAGAGTTTCCCTAAATCCCTTAAATCACAAAAATCAAAATGCCCGATCACATTTTAAATGCGCAAAATCCTGAAAATCGAGATCTTCCAAACGGTCCAATTCCACAAACGGAAGCGCTACCATTAAATTTCTTAACAAAATTAATCCCAGAAACTTTCGATGGCAATCGTCTACAAGTAACTAGCTTCGTTAAACAAGTTGATGGAGTATTTGAAATTGCGAAAGAAACTCAAAAATTCCCCTTGTTATTGTATGTCAAGAGTAAAATCACGGGAAAAGCAAAAGAACAAATTGACATTCATTGTAATCTCACGACATGGCCAGAAATTTCCGCTCTATTATTAAGACTATTCCAAGACCGAAAGTCTATGGATCAATTATTAGAAGAGTTAAATCACATTTCTCAAGGTCGTAATGAAACGATATCACAATTTTATCAGAGACTCGAAGAATATTCATCGCGAATTTTAGCTGCTATTCATGCCAATAATGATGAAGACGATGACACTTTCCGAGGTCGTATTGCAATGACAAATGACATGACTAGAAATCGGTTTATTTATCACACACATCCTTCTATCTCTCAAATGTTATGTTATCGTGAATTTAAGACAATGAGTCAAGCGCTCACTGCTGCATTGGCTGAAGAAAAAGCCTTAAGACCCAAAAACCCCTATCAAAATCAACAAAATTGTACCATCTGTCATCGAACAGATCATTCTTTTCATGATTGTCCTCACAAAAATCGACAAACCACAAATTTCTCTCGAC